TCCCTTTTTCATTTAGAAAGAAAAAAACTACAAAAGGAATATTTGCTGGTTAAAAAGCCTCACTACTACTCTGTTTAATATCATAATGGTGGATACCTGTCACTTTTCATTTGTCCAATGTACAAGGCCAAGACCAAACCCTACTGTAAGCTATGGACTTTGGATGATAATGATGTATCAATTTAGGTTCATCAATTGTAACAAATGTACCACTCTATGGGGTAGACTGATAATGGAGGAGGCTATACATGTGTGTGGGGTGGGTATGTGGTATATTGTTGTACCTTCCACTCAATTTTACTGTTAACCTAAAACTGCTCTAAAATATAAAGTCTGATTAAAAAAGTGTTTTTAATCCTCCATACAAAAGGACATATAAAAAGATTAGTTTCATTCGCCACTCAACATCCAACTCCCTCCACACATTTTTTCAAAAAATATATGGGGAGGGACACCTGGGTGGCTCAGTTGGTTGAGCAGCTGCCTTCGGCTCAGGTCATGATCCCAGCGTCCTGGGATCGAGTCCCACATCGGGCTCCTTGCTCGGCAGGGAGCCTGCTTCTCCCTCTGCCTCTGCCTGCCACTCTGTCTGCCTGTGCTCGCTCTCTATCCCTCTCTCTCTCTGACAAATAAATAAATAAAATCTTTAAAAAAAAATATATGGGGAAAGGAATTTAAAGAAGTAAACTGACAAATCTTGGTAGCTAACAAAAAAGTCTGTATTAATTATGAACCAAGCACTATCAGGAATCAAGGATTATGTCAATTATACCTCAATTTAAAAAAAAAGAGTTAAGGGGCCATAATAACAAAAGTGACAGATAAACTGAATTCAAACACTTCTGGGAGTTAAGTGTTTTACATAGAACAAAATAAATGTTTTGTAACCCATGCTTTGCCATTCAATAAATTGGTGTCACTTACCATATTTTATGAATTTTTTAGCAGTTATATTTCAAACCTAGAAAGAACTATAATTCTGTAAGGGATCAAAGTCATACCTCTTAATATATTACATAATTGAGTTTTTACATCTTTCTCCAAAATTAGTCTACTCATCTACTTTTTCTTATACTTGTCTCCATGGCAGAGACCCAAACAGAAAAGTTTAGACTTTGTTAAAGATGGACCATGAATTTCTTTCATTTTTTTTTTATTAACATATAATGTATTATTTGCTTCAGGGGTACAGGTCTGTGAATCAGTCTTACACAATTCACAGCACTCACCATAGCACATACCCTTCCCAAATGGATCATGAATTTCTAAAAAGGGCCTATATTCAACACACTCACAGTTTCAAGTTTTAACATATATTAACATATATATTAGTAAATATTTACACAAAAGATAAATGTGGGGGCACCTGGGTGGCTCAGTGGGTTAAAGCCTCTGCCTTCGGCTCAGGTCATGATCCCAGAGTCCTGGGATCGGGCCCCGAATCGGGCTCTCTGCTCCACAGGGAGCCTGCATCCTCCTCTCTCTGCCTGCCTCTCTGCCTACTTGTGATCTCTGTCTGCCAAATAAATAAATAAAATCTTTAAAAAAAAAAAAAGATAAATGTGTATCTTCATTGTATCATAGCAATATCCCAAAAGAACTTTAATCAAGAAAACTCCCAATTTGTATTTTCCAGTGCTATTTAATTCTAAAACTAGATAGCTTTCAGAGACATTAAGAGAACAAGATATGACTCAACATCTGTACAAATTAGCACAGGTCTGAATTGTGGAAGAAATTAGTTTGGTTTATGGAAAGCAGCTAACTGTCAAGTAAAAACGAATCCAAAACATTCAGGACAATTTTTATGTTGACAACTTTAGCTCCTGGTCAGAAAATCTAGCCTGGCTATGACATTAAAATGGTGAAATTTTATTGAACTATAAAAATATTGATAGATTTAGTAGCCCTTTCTTTCAAGTGAATACTGTTGCTATTTCATCCCATAAACATGAGAGCCATAAATTAGATCACTAATTCTAAAGTGGACGCCAGCGATGAACCATATTACCTAGGAGATCTTTTTTTCCTTCACGATATATCTACCTCCCTTCACATTCCTCCTACCACTAAGATTCTGAAGGGAAGTGGAGGTAATATAATAGGTATATGTGTATGCCTATTTTTTTTAACTCCCAGGTTATTCTGATACATATGTAACTCTCCACCTTCAGGAGAATTTGTGAATTAGGTCCAACTCTATTTTTTAACACTGTATCAACAGCAGACAAAGGAACAGAGCTACAAAGAGCTAAGAGCTTAGAAGGCTCTGCAGGTTAAGGGCTATATTCACACCAGTTGTAAGCCACCTTCAGAGCTTTTGTGTCAGCTCCCTCCAGAATTCATGATGCTATATTTTAGACAATGACAAATACTCAGTTCATCATCCTGAGAAAGGCACATAGTCTACTAGCCAGATAAAAATATAAAAAAGCTATTTTGGACATCAAAAAAGCTAAGAAACCACAGGGAATGAAAGACAGAAATTCCTCTGTTCCTGAATTAAAAGAACAACAGCAAAGTACTTTTTTTGGTCCAGCTGATAACTTGTTCAGAGACTTTCTGTCCATGTTTTATCATTTTAGCTTTTTATTATGTAACAGCATTGGTTTTTTCTATTATAAAGCTCAGTCAAGCTGAAAATCTTAATCATTATAGAATTTAATAAACTACTGTTAAACACCAAAGCTGAGAATTAAAAACAATCAATCTTAAGTCCCTACTGCATGTCAAGATGGCTTAAGAGATGGATTTAAGAAGCTTTGAATAAGGTCTATTTTAAAGCAAAAATGATACTTCTTTACAGCCAGTGTTTCAAATTCCTTATAAACATCTCCAATACTGAAATATGTCAGAAAACGGGGCTTCTAATGATGCATAAATAATAAGCCAATTATTATTACATTCTAATTCTGACGACTGTTTCTTAAATCACTGGGTAATTTCCCACTCAATCTGCAACTTCGTTGCGTTCTACAATGACACCTACTGGTCATTCAAACTCAGCCATTAGTTCTCTAAGACAGCCCTAGTAGGCCGGTTACATAAGAAGAAACACATACACACAGAGACACACACACGCACACACACACTCACACCACCCTGCACAAAAGCAGAGATTTGTTCACAGGTACTACAGAATTCTACCTAAAACAGAAAGTATTCTTTCTGACTAGATAGTACCACTCCTGCAAAAAGATAGGAAGATAAAGAGTGAAACACCAAAAGTATCAAAATTTTTAACTTAAGTCTTGATAAATATCTCCATACTAACATTTCAGAACAAACTCCACCTCTTTTTGCCAAATGATTCTTACAACAAAATGAATCTTTTAATTTAGGTTTTGGGATATACTAGTATAAATTATCATTAACACAAAAAGGAAAATTACACACTTGCTCTACTACATTAGTCCTCATCTTCTCAGGTAAAGGCTACATTTCAATCAGCTTACACGTTATCAATTTATAATGCTTCTTTTAAAGTTTTCCAGTGTGCTATAAAATCTAATTTTAAATGTAGTTCGTCCTTCCATACAAATACTGAATGAAATTCCTGTTTTACTCTACATTCCGTTGTGCAAACAATTATAAAAACTCAGACAAAAGATAATAATTTACAGTTCGTTGTGTCTGTAAATACATTTTACCTCAGCTGGAGTGGTTCAAAGAGCGTAATTCCTAAACCTAAGAAATAATTCATAACTAGTTTATCAGACCTAATAAGCAAATTATTTAAAAGATGACTTCTTCTCCCCACCCTATCCCCCTTCAAACCACCACATTATTTTCACAGTCCCTAACATCCACAATATTGGGGGGGGGGGTCTAACAACTAATTTTCTAGTCATTTTCCAACTTGCACTTACCTCCTACAATAGATTTTTGAGGCTCTCCACTTTCCTGAAGATAAAAATATATATATATATACTTATAATCAGCCGTCACCCTCAAAACAAATTCATGAACTACAAAACATGAACCTGGCTACTAGTCTCAAACTAACATTTCTCTCAACCCAAGTCCGTATTTGGGATAAGCTTCCTGACTATCCTTCATGCTTCTTCACCGATAGGAGCCTGCCGACGTAGTAAGAGCTCAAACCAAGGAAAAAACTATTCTAACACATCACCAGGTTGCAAGACCTCCTCTTCCAAGGGCGACAACCTAGTTGTTTGGGTAAATAACAGCCAAGGGTTACATAATGTATAGCTATAAAGAGTTTGAAGGATCTGACCGCCAGTAAATTATGTTTCTTCTCCACACACCCTTCCCACCCCGAGAAATGGCCATAAGAAGCAATTCCAGGATTTCTCTCCGGTGCCTGCAATGCCGCGTCCTTTTCTTAGAGCTTCGTGCAAGGAACTCCTCCATCCCTCACGATGTCGTCTGGCTTCTGGCTCCCGCCTCTCTCCTCTCTCTGCCATTGCCACCGCAGCCCCTCACGCCCTAGGCCCCCACGTCGCCCCGCAAGGGTCAGCCTCCACCAGCCTCAGCGGATTTCTCCTCACGACCCTTCCAAGCTGCTACCTGGTCTACGCGAGGTTCCGGAACCACCAACACTCCAGCTACCGCCTTCCAAGACCACCCTCGTCACATCCTCTCTACGGTTCCCGCAGCCCGAGGAGAAAATCCCTCCTGATCTAGCACTCCGCGTCCCCCAAAGACAGCGCCGCCGCCTACCTGTCACCCCGCTGCCTCCGGCTTCTCACTGCCACCGCCTCCCGCAGCAGCCTGCCAACTGCAGCGCAACAACCAGCCTTCCCATTGGCCTCTTCCACGCTCTAACAACTGCCTCACTTACTGGCTGGAGCATGCTCGCGGCCCTCCCCTCTGTGCAGTGTCTAAGGATTCCGGTCTCCCAGCAAGGAAAACATAGCCTCTTCCCTCCCATTCTCTCCTCTACAATTATTCTTACCTCAGTCGGACCCCCTATGCACAGATGCGCGGAAAAAATGTCGACTTCTAGCACCCTTCATGTACTCCGCACTCGGTCCAGGAATCCGTGACCTAGTGCGGAACGTTAAATGGCACCTCCGCTTTCCTGCCGTAAGGCACTGCAGGGGACAACTTCCGTTTCCGCTTGGCGCCGGCTGGAAGATTGACTCTTGAGTGTCGTGAGAGGTCAGATTGCTGTCAGGTAAATTAGAGTTGGTGGGAGGCCTCTTGGTCAGGAATAAGAGTGAGACTCTGTTCTGGGGATTGTAGAAAAGGGTGAGGCTAAATGGAGAATGACCTTGAGCGTATGTACCTCGAGGGAAGGGAATCGAAGAAGTAGCAATAGTGAGGGGTACTTTGTAGAAGGATGCGGTGAGAGTCACTGTGGTTAGGTCCATACGCTTTTTTCCTCCTTTCCCACCCGCAAACCCCCGCCCTGTGTTTTCTGGTTTACCTCTGAATTGAATAAAGGCAGAACAGCTGCCTTTCCAAATCGAAAAATCCTAAAATAAGAATAATTGCAATGCCTGCCTCACAACACTCATATATGGTTTCAAGTAAGGCTTTTCTGGTGTGAATGTTTATGATAACGTTAAAGTGAAAAAAGCAGGATACAAAATCCCATCCATTTTTAGAGTGATTACTATTTTTAAATTGCATATAAGTAGGCGCAGAGACTGGAGGAGACACTAGAAGTTCACTTGTCTTTTATTTTTTTAATGCCCTTAGTCACAATTTTAAAAATGAGGGCTAGTTGGGTTATATACTTGAAGGTCGTTGGTAAACCATAAAATTAGATGTACTGTGAGTGGCATTATCCTCTTATTTTCTAGTTAGGGAAAGTATGCCAGCCCCCACTAGTGGAGGTGGAGTCGATCTCCACGAAAGTAGAGATTCACTCCAAACACAGGTAGCTAGCTTTTTAAAAGTTTCATGATTACATGTGTTTTCTTTGTTGAACTAATAAACTTACTGTTTTTTGTCTGAACCGTTCTGAAACTAAAATAATTATCCGATGTTGAATCCTTGTCATAATCTGTCATTTATCTGATTTTAGTTTTTATTGTGAAATATACATAGCAGAAGGGTGTATAAAATATAAATATGTTTAAAGAGTTACAATTAAGCAAACCCTATGTAACCACCCGTCGGGTTAGAAAATAAAACATTGTCAATAACTTAGAACTTGCATTCTCAGCAGAGGTGGTTATCCTTCAAAGAGATGAAAATTGGCTCTTGGAGGAGAGGTGAAAAAAATCTTAAAGACTACAATGGCTGGTGGCCCTCCAAAGAGCCATGGTGCCTTAGCAGATAAGTACAGTATATCCGTGGTATTAAAATTTCACTGGGGCAGGGGGTGAAAATGTGTTAAGGAACAAAATATCTGAAAAAGCTCCTTTGGGGTGCAAGAATTAAAAATAGACTGGAAAGTACTGCCTTAGATGCTCCATGTATGAGCTTCTGTGATTCTGTCTCTTCCACCAGGAGTAACCACCATCCTGACTTGTGATAAACATTCACTTTTTTTGCTTTAATTTTTCCATCTATGGTGCATTTCTTAAAAAAAAAAAAAAAAAAAAAGAATTGTCTGGTTTTTCAGTTTATCTAAATAGGATGAAAGTGTATGTATTTTTGAAACTCAAACCTTGTTCATTATTTGTGAGATTTGTTCATACTTTTGCATGTGGTTTTTCATTGTGTACTCCATAGCGTGACTTCCATAAATGATGCATTGTTATTGTTGGATATTTGAGTTGTTTACAGTTTGGGGTTAGCCACATAAACCTGTCTAAGAAGATTCTTATAAAATAGATCTATTGTTAAAATATATATATGTGTGTGTATATAGTTACACACATAAGTTTTTAATAACAGTGCTGTCCAATGGAAATATAATGCAAGACTCATGTAATTTACAATTTTCTAGTAGCCATATTACAAAGGTAAAAAGAAACAAAGTTAATTTAATTATATATTTTGTCTAAGCCAGCATATTCAAAGTATTATTTCAAGATGTAATCAGTATTAAAAGTTATTAATGAAATATTTTACATTTTCTTTATACTTTCTCAAAATTGATGTATTTTACACTTAAATATGTTTGTATGTTAAGTTTTCATAAATATAAACACTTGATCTATGTTTATATTTTGCAAAATTTACAACTAAAAAAATAAATCCATATACCTAAATTGTTCCAAACACACTAAAATTTTCCAATAACTGATTTGAGAATCCAACTTAAAATTTAAATTAATTAAAATTAAATAAAAGTTGTGATTCCCAGTTGCACTAGTCACACTTCAAGTGCTAGTGAAAACCATATTGAATAGTGCAGATCTAGACCATAAGGTATTCAAATGTTGGACCTTTCTAGTTCAGACCAGTTTTTCACAGTGGTTGTGCTAAGTCACATTCTCATCACCTGGGTGTAAAAACACAATGTGTTGTGTTTCCTGCAAATCTCACAATCTTGCAAGGTAGGTTTTATCCTCATGTTATATGAGGAAACAAGTTCAGAGAGATTAAATTATTTGCCCAGAAGTTTATATCAGTGGTGCATCCAGGATTCAATCTGTATAGCACCAAAGTCTGCACTGAAGTAGAATTCCAAACTTCCTTCAAGTGATAAGGATATCATTGTTTGATTTATGGCTATTTTGAAATAGAAATAATTTTTAAAAGAAAATGGAAAGTTCCCTAGAAATTGTGTTGTTCCGCTCTTTGAAAAGTCATTGAAATATTCTACTTAGTAAATTCCTCTAACGGGACACTTTCTGAAATATTTTAATGAGGTAGAAGAGAAAATGCATTGAATTTATTAAAGGAAATTAAGAGAAATTAATATGTGTACTTTTTTTTCAAAAATTTCTCCCAAATTACTTAATGTTTTGAACATAGTAATATTGTAATTTAAAAATAGCCTTCATATATGGTAATGCATCCATTTTTCTTTTTTTTTTTTTAACAGGGGGGTGGGAGGGTTAGAGAGAGAATCTTAAGCAGGCTCCGTGCCCAGCGCAGAGCCTGTTGCAGGGCCTCATCTCACAACCCCGAGATCATGACCTGAGCTGAAATCAAGAGTCAGATGCTTAACAGCTGAGCCACCCAGGAGCCCCTCCATTTTTATTCTCAAAATCAAACTATTTCACCAAAAGATTTTGACATTTGTTTTATATTCTTTTCCAGGTATGTTGATACTCAATTAGGATTAGCATTCTAGAACTGACATTTGCCAAAATCAGGGTTTGTCTTGTAATCTCTTTAAAGATTTTTGGAATGAAACATTTAAAAAAATTTTTTTTTTGTAAACATGGTTTGAAGAAACCAAGATATCCTAATTAAACACTTCTTAAAGTATTTCTTTTATAATAATGTATTGAATCTCAAAATCAGCTTGAAATCTGAAATGGTAATTTTTTTCCCTCTATTATTGAATCCACCAAATAATAATCAAATGTTTCACTGAAATTGTGAATGTTGTTTTAACTTGCGTTTGGTGAGAATTGGTTTTCATTCTTTTTTAAATGTAAAAAACATCAAAATAATGTTTTGTGATTATCTTCATATATTTAAATATAAAGTATTGGTTAATTTGTCAGAATTACTATGTATAACCCCCCCTCCAATATTCTGGGAACTATTGTTTAATGGAATGAATATTTCACATGATACATCTTTAGTATACATTGTCTAATAATTACCTCTGTCTTCTAAAATGCAGTATAAGAGCCCTGCCTTATTATTGGGCCTGCTCAGAGTTATAAATGCAGACATAATGGTAATAATTATTTGGTTTGGTTTTATTTCTGGAGAGCAGTGATTATAGACTTGCTACTGCTAACCTTATACAAAAGGGGTATTAATTCATACCTCCTTAATTTGAAATTCATAGCAATTTAACTTGGGACTGAACTGAAGTTTATTTTTACATTATCTATGCAAATAACACTAGTGGGGTGCCTGGCTGGCTCAGTCGGTAGAGCATGTAACTATTGATCCCTGGGTTGTGAGTTCAAGCCCTGTGTTGGATGTAGAGATTATAAATAAATAAACTTTAAAAAATAACACTTAATAAAACGGAAGTCTTTATTATAACCATTACAGGCATATTTTATTTAAGGAGCCGTAGGGGTCCTAAGGTCTCTGTTGGTATAGTTCAGGAGTCAGCAAACCATAGCCTGCTGGTCAAATCCAGCATATTGTCTGTTTTTATACTGCCCATGAGCGAACAGTGGTTTTTACAGATGAACATTTGCTAACTAAGGAACCCTAACTTTGAGCCCCAGTTAAGCAAAATGTTATCCCCAGAAAAAGGAATTTCATTTGTTTCATCTGACCTATATTACAAAAAAATTGTACTCACTTATTATTATATCTTGAATTTATCAGTAAAGTTTTTTTTCTCTTGTTATATAACTACCTTCAAGATATCCTTGATTTTACCTCTTGGTCCACAAAGCCCAGGATATTTACTATCTGGCTCTTTACAGAAAAAGTTTTTGTGATCATAGATATTTAAACATAGTAACACTGCATTTTAAAAGAATCTTCTGAACAATGCAGGCAACAAAATAGTATGTACATTTTCATTATGCATATTTACACATTGTGAAAGGACTAAAGCAAAGGAAACAGTATTGCTTAGAAGTTAGGAGCAGGTGCGCCTGGGTGGCTCAGTTGGTTACACATCTGCCTTAGGTTTGGGTCATGATCTTATGGTCCTGGGATGGAGCCCCACATTGGGCTCCCTGCTCATTGGGGAGTCTGCTTCTCTCTCTGCCTCTACCTGCTCCTCCCTCTGCTTGTGATTGCTTTATGTCTTTCTCTCTGCCAAATAAATAAATAAATAGAATCTTTGGGGAGAAAAGTTAGGAGCAACGGCTCTGAAACCAAACTACGAAGTTAAAAATCAACTGTACCATTTACTGTTTTTGTTACCTTCAAAAAGTTCCTTACCTTGTTGGAGCTTCATTGTCTTCATGTGTAAAATGGTGATAATAACTGTAATTTAAGTTCAAAGAGTTGTTTTAGGAGTAATGGATTTAATACATGTTAAAGCACTCTGGTGCACCTGGCACATAGGGCACAATAAATATTAGCTCTCCTTACAATGAAGAAAGGAACAAAACAGTAAATGGTTATCTCTGAGTGGTGGGATTATTTTTTTAAAAGATTTTATTTGGGGCGCCTGGGTGGCTCAGTGGTTAAAGCCTCTGCCTTCGGCTCGGGTTGTGGTCTCGGGGTCCTGGGATCGAGTCCCGCATCTGGCTCTCTGCTCAGCAGGGAGCCTGCCTCCTCCTCTCTCTCTCTCTGCCTGCCTCTCTGCCTACTTGTGATCTGTCTGTCAAATTAAAAAAAAATAAAAATAAAAATAAATAAATAAATAAAAGATTTTATTTATTTTTCAGAAAGAGACAGAACACAAGCAGGGGGAGAGGCAGGTAGAGGGAGAAGCAGGCTCCCTACTAAGCAAGGAGCCCGATGTGGGACTCCATTCCTGGACACTGGGATCATGACCTGAGCCAAAGGCAGATGTTTAACCAGCCGAGCCACCCAGGTGTCCCAAGTGGTAGGATTATTGATTTTTTTTTTCTTTTTTATATTTTGTATATGTATATTCTCTGTGAATATACACTAGTTATGTGATAGGATACTGTTTTATAAAACCTGTTAACTCAGAATTTTCAAGTATTTATTGGCTCTCCTTTTAAAACACTAGCAGTGTTTGGGTATTTAATATCTACGATTGGCATAGTTTTCTTTTGTGTTAATCTTATCCTTTAGACATGGCCCACGGACATGGGCATGAACATGGCCATAGTAAACTGGAACTTCCAGATTATAGACAATGGAAGATAGAAGGGACGCCATTAGAAACTGTCCAGGAGAGGCTGGCTGCACGAGGGCTAAGGGACCCATGGGGCCGGTAAGAATAATTAAATAATTTAGATAGAATTTATTCTAAAGGATCAGTATCTATGTTCCTTTTTTTTTATTATTGTTTTAGCTATTCTAGGTTTTTTGTATTTACATTTGAGTGTTAAAACAAGCTTTTCAGTTTCTACAAAAAAGCTGCTCAAATTTCAATTAGGATCACATTAACTCAGAGCCGAACTGAGGATAACTGATGTCTTAACAAGTTAAATCATTATATTGTATACCTGAAACTAATATTACACTGTATGTTAACTAACTGGAATTTAAATAAAAACTTAAAACAATTCACGTCTTAACAATATTTACCCTTCCAGTCTATGGACAGTTCAGATTCTGTGGAATTTTCTCAGTAGTGTTTTATTGCTTTAAAAAACCAATCTATTTTGTTAAATTTATCCCGAATTATTCCATATTTTATGCTATTGTAAATGGTAGTGTTAAATTGCCAATATTCTCTGCTAATATGTGAAAATACAATGGAGTTCTATACATCTACTTTGTATCTTGTTACTTGGGTAAATTCACATTTTTGTTCTAGCAGATTTTTTTTTATAAATTTCTTAGAGTTTCCTTATAGATGATCATTTTGTCTAAAATCAGTGTTCTTACTTTTCAATTCATAAACTTTTTCTTTCTTGCATTATTACACTGGCTACTAGTACTATACACTACTAGTATAATGTTGGATAAAAGCATTAGCTGACATCCATGCCTTGTTCCTTTTTTTTTTTTTTTTTTAATTTATCTCTTTAAGTAATATCTGCTCCCAGTGTGGGACCCTGAGATCAAAAGTCACATGCTCTACCAACTGATCGGTCCAGTCAGGAGCCCTTGCCTTGTTCCTAAATGGGGGAAGGCACTCAGTCTTCTACCACTAAGTATATTCGTTGTAGGGTGTTGTGGGGTTTCTCTTGAGTGTTGAATTTTTTTAAATGCTTTTTCTGCATCTATTGAGATACTCACATAGTTTTTTCATTCTGTTAATATGATGAATTACTCTTACTGATTTTAAAATATCAAACCAATCTTGCATTCCTTTTTTTTTCAGTCTCGCATTCCTAAGGGAAACCCTTCATCATAATATATTATCCTTTTATATGTTGCTATAATCAATTTTCTAAAATTCTGTTGAGAATATTTATATCTGTGTTCATGAAGGATATTACCCTGTAGTTTTCTTCTAATGTCTTTGCTTTTGGTATCTGAATTAGATTTGATTAACTCTCATATTTTCTAGTAAGTCAAATTTTTAGAGTTAAGTGGGGGTTTTTCCATATAACATAATTTTTTCCACTCATTTATCCCTGCCTGTGAGAGTAGACTTTTTTTTTACTACAGCTCTCTGAATTCTGTTTACTTCTCTGTTCAGGATACTCAGAAGAATGATTGCCAGAGCAGAAAGTCAGTCCTCTTTTTTTTTTATTAAGAAGTCTTCTAAAGCTCAGGCAGCTATGACAGGGAAAAGCTCTTGATTCTCTGGAAGAATAGTAATATTAAGTGTTACATTCTCTTCTGTGCCAAAATATATCATACATTACCCTGTTGAATCTTTATAACAACACTATAAGGTAGATAGTAATCACCATTGAGTAAAAGAGGAAGCAAGCCCTGACAGGTTAAGTAATTTGACTACCCTAAAAAGTTGTGAATGTAAGTGACAGAGCAAGGTTTAATACCCAAGTTTCTAACTTCCTCTTTAAATGATACTGTAATGACTGGTACGGGCAAAGTCACACAGCTGACCTCTCATGAGTAGCCTGAAGTGAGTCTTGCATTTAGGAATTCTGTAAAATCCTAGGTATTAATGGCTGTGAAACCATCAAGTCTTTTTCTTCTGTTTATGTGTGAAATGTGGGCATATAGACCTAATTATCTTATGTCACAGAAAGATTCGTACTATGATCCACTTAGATTATCTTAAATAAGGTTGCATTTAAGTCTATTAGAAATATGAAAATTAAATCTGTTTTAGTGAATATGTAATTTGTATGTGATTATAATTTTTCCCTTTTTTTCCCCTCTAGCAATGAAGCTTGGAGATACATGGGTGGCTTTGCACACAATGTTTCCTTTGTTGGTGCATTATTAAAAGGATTCAAATGGGGATTTGCAGCATTTGTGGTAGCTGTAGGGGCTGAATATTACCTGGAGTCCAAGAATAAAGAGAAGAAGCATCACTGAAGATAGTACCTGGAAGTATCTTAAAGGCTTCTTAACTCTCTTACAAAAATAAGCTTTCTTCAATGTAGCCTACTCTGTGTGTTTTTCCCTTAAAAAATACAAGTAAGATTTAATAAAGTAAGAATGCATGTGCTAGTCTGTTTTTGTCATTCTTTTATATTTTTTTTAATTAATTTATTTATTTATTTGACAGAGAGAGATCACAAGTAGGCAGAGAGGCAGGTAGAGAGAGAGGAAGGGAGGGAAGCAGGCTCCCTGCTGAGCAGAGAGCCTGACGCGGGACTCGATCCCAGGACCCCGAGATCATGACCTGAGCCGAAGGCAGCGGCTTAATCCACTGAGCCACCCAGGCGCCCCATGTTTTTGTCATTCTTTTAAAAAATATGTCTCGGGGCACATGACTGGCTCAGTTGGCAGAGCACGAGACTTTTGATCGTGGGGTCGTGGGTTCAAGCCCCATGTTAGCTGTGGGGATTACTTTTTCAAAAATGTGTTAAGCCGTATAAGATTTGGTTTGAAATATGTGGGGCGACTGAGTAGCAGCGGTAGTGCATTCTGCATATGGCAGAAAGCCAGCATATATTTGATTGTTACTTTTTCAAGTTTTTTTAGTGTGGTAAAGTTTGTCAACTGTTTCTAAGTGTGCAGTCTGTGGTACTAAATACATTCAAATGTGCAACCATCACCACCATTCATCCCCATAACTCTTTTTACCTTTTAAAACTGAAAATCTATGCCATTAAACAATAAGTCCTCATTACCCCTTCTCCAGCCCTTGGCAGCCACCATTCTACTTTTTTTCTCTGATTTTGACTACTCAAAAGTACCTCATATAAATGGAATCATACAGTATGTATCTCTTTGTGACTGGCTTATTTTACTTATCACAATATCCTCAAGTTTCATCCATACTGTAGCCTGGCCAGAATTTCTTATTAAATCTGAATAGTATTCCATTGTATGTATATACTACATTTTGTCTTTCCATTCATCCATTGGTGACCACTTGGTTTGCTTCCACATTTTAACTATTGTGAATAATGCTACTATGAACATGGATGTACTCTGAGTTTTAAATGGGAATTGGCCTTGCTGTTTTTAACCATCCTCTGCAAGTCCTTTAGATTATGCTGTAAAACACTTGCTGCCCAGTTCGGACTGACAAATCCATATATCATGTTCATTCGTCTTTATTGTGATATTATCTACTCTTACCTTATAGTCCTCATTATCCCAATGATTTGGAAAGTTTGACATTTTTTTCTGTATCTCTAACAACAAACTACTCATTCTTCCCACACTGAAGTTTTGAATTTTTTAAAAAAGATTTTTGGGGGGCGCCCGGATGGCTGAGTGGGTTAAGCCTCTGCCTTTGGCTCAGGTCATGATCTCAGGGTCCTGGGATCTGCGGGCATCAGGCTCTCCACTCAGCATGGAGCCTGCTTCCCCCTCTTTGCCTGCCTCTCTGCCTGCTTGTGATCTCTCTGTCAAATAAATAAATAAAACTTAAAAAGATTTTGGTATTTATTTACGAGAGAGAGTGAGTGTGTGAGGACAAGTGGGGGGAAGGGCTGAGAGGGAGGGAGAAGCAGGATCCCTGCTAAGCAGAGAGCCCAGTGTGGGATCCTATCCCAGGACCCTGATATTATTACCTGAGCTGAAGGCTTAACTGACTGAGCCACCTAGTTGCCCCAGATTTAAAATTTTGATTAATTAATTTATAAGTTAAGTTGAGGCATAAACTCAACTTCTTGAAGTGGTAATATTATTGCTTGAATAACAAAGTTAATACAAAACTCTAGAGTAGTTTTTTTTCTTTATAAATTTCTTCTTTGTAAACATAGACTTGAGAAGTCGCTAAATACATAAGACAAGAATTCCTAATAGTGGTAAATGGGATGTGGTAAAATGGAATAATAAAGACTGCAAACGATAAGGAAAGTGTTTAACAGGCGATAAAGAACAATATGAAAATACAAATAGCTAGATGCTAGATTTAAATTTGATCGTATGAATAATTATATTAAATATAGAATGGTCAAAGTGAAACTCTAAAATCTTTCAATTAAAACAAATTTTCAGCTTACACAAAAAAGTAAGACCCAACTATAAGCTGTTTACATGAAAACTCCTTTAAAACATAGGGTAATAGAAAAAATACACTGTGCAAACAGTAGTGAAAAGAATATTGAAAAAATAGGGCACCTGAGTGGCTCAGTTGGTTAAGCAACTGCCTTCTGCTCAGGTCATGATCCTGGAGTCCCAGGATTGAGTCCCACACTGGGCTCCCAGCTCCATGGGGAGTCTGCTTCTCCCATCTCAAGCTCTCTCCCACTCTCTCTCTCTCTCTCTCTCTCTCTCTCTCTAATAAATAAATAAATAAAAATCTTAAGAAAAAAGAATATTGACAAAATAAATTTCAGAATAAAGACTATTCTCACTCAATAATGGAGGATTCAGTCCATTAAGACATAAAAATCGGAAATGTATACGCACAGAGCTTTATTTTTTTATAAATATGTCCAGATTTGTTTATTAGTGATCTGAAACCAGGCCATTACAATAAAGTATGACAGCCAACAGGAATTTTGAAGTAAAAGATAGAAGGGGTTCCTGAAGTTGCACAGAGCTTTAAATTATATGAAACAAATAGAACTAAAGGGAGAAATGGGCAAATCCACAATTAAGTTGATGGTTTCAACACTCCCTTCTCAGTAATTGATAGAAAAAGTAGAAAATTATTTAGCCTATAGAAAACCTGAATAACACTATAACTTGATATAATATTTATAGACCATTCTGCTCCAAAACAGAACATTCATTCTTTTCAAGGGCACATGGACCATTTATCACAACAGACTATATTCTGGGCCATAAAACAATATAATTAGGAAGACTGAAATTACACAAAACATATTCTCAGATCACAAAGAAATTAGGCTAAAAGTATCTGAAAAATCCATCCATATTTGGAAATTGGATGGCACACTTATAATTCCCCCTGCTCAAAAAAGAGGTCTAGAGGGGCGCCTGGGTGGCTCAGTGGGTTAAAGCCTCTGCCTTCAGCTGTGGTCATGATCCCAGGGTCCTGGGATTGAGCCCCACATCAGGCTCTCTGCTCAGCAGGGAGCCTGTTTTCTCCTCTCTCTCTGCCTGCCTCTCTGCCTACCTGTGATCTCTGTCTGTCAAATAAATAAATAAAGTCTTTAAAAAAAAAAAGGTCTAGGGAAACTAGAAATTCGTTTTTTCCTTTTTTTTTTTTTAAGATCTTGTTTTTTTTATTGATTTGAGAGAAAGAGAGCAAGAGTGCAAGAGTGGAGAGGGAGGGGCAAAGGGAGAAGCAGGCTCCCAGTGATGCAGGAAGCCCCATGTGGGACTGATCCCCAGAACCCTAGGATTATGACCTGAGCCTAAGGCAGACACTTAACCGCCCAGGCATCTCAGGAATTTAGAAATTCTTAACTGAATAAAATGAAAACACGAGTACCAAAATGTGTGGGATGCAACTAATAAGACTTGAACTCTACCCAAACTGATAAAAAAAAAAAAAAAAGAATATTAGTAATGAAAGTAGAGACATTACTACAGATCCTAGAGACATTAAAACAATAAAAGCATTTTGCAAACAACTTTATGTGAATAAATTTTGATGATATTGACAATGGCCTTAGAAAGACAAAACTACCAAAGCTCACTCAAGAAGTAGATAACCCAGGATGCCTGGCTGACTCAGTCAGCAGAGTGTGACTCTTGATCTCAGAGTCATGAGTTTAAGACCCACATTAGGTACAGAACTTAGTTAAAACATTAAATAAAAACAGTAGATATTCTGAATACCCATAAGTAAACTCATTTTTTGGGTTAGGTGAAAAAAAAGATGGAAAGTGCAGTGCTTGACATGTTTATAACAGAGAATAACAATAATTTTTCTCTTCTATTTTAGAGTATTTATTATCCATCATAATTTTTTCTGGAAGCAAGGAGTAAAGTTTTTCCTTATATTTTCTTTATTTGAAAACTATTGCCTGAATTCCTTGGGAGCTGCAGAGAATACAAACCACTGTCATCTTAGCTCTTGCCATTACTTGGATTAGAACCAGTTAAATGTAATACTCATTCTTAAAATGTATGACCGAAGTCCAATTGGAAATAATGTTAATTATGTGTTTGCTAGCCTCATAAATAAACACTGTAGATGATTACATGTAAAAATATTATTAGCTCCATTTTGTATGTAGGGCAAGTCCTTGGTAAAGTAAAAAATCTTAAGATGGCACAGCTAGTAAATTCCAGAGTTAGATTTTCAATCCAGGTCTGACTCCATAATAACCACCATATTGAGTTACCTAACATGTTGTATGTGATAAGTACTATAAGATGCCATAAAATTATTCTTTTAGATCTTATGTCAAAACTATCTAATTTTACAGTAATTTCATAGTCTTTCTGTACTTTGAACAAAACTATTTTGATACACCTACTGAAACAGATTCATACATTTTTTTAAAAACATGAGAGGGAAAGAAAGTAACATAGAGGACATCAGGGGACAAGGTGGTATAGAAAATGTGCATAAAGACAAAAACATAGGAACAATTAGTATTTATACACGTGAATGGTCAATATGATAGAAGAAATAAATTAGAAGAAAACAAAAAAGGTAAAGAAGGGGTTGCAGCATATTGGCATGATGGAAGCAGTAGAGATAAGCAGAACTTATTCTTCAGTGTATATTTACAGCCATAGGGTGCATTTACAGTATCCACTTGCTGCTTCAGTCAAATGTAGATTTTAATGATACTGTGGAAAGGAAGATGCTTTCCTTTTTTTTGTTTTTGTTTTTAATTTTAGAGGGAGAGCGCATGTGAATGGGGGAGGGGCAGGGAGAGAGGGAGAGAATCTCTAGCGGACTCCAGCACTGGTGCGGAGCCTGAGGCCAGGCTCAATCTCATGACTCTGAGATTATGACCAGAGCAGGAATCAAGAGTCGGACTCTTAACTAACTGATTCCCCCAGGCACCCCCAAAGGAATATGCTTTCTATTGGGTTTTAAAGGAAATGTGCAGTCTGCATATTAAAGTAAATTTGTTTAGCTTCATAGAGACATAAAACATTGGCAAGGCCCACTTAATTAG